TGCATTATCCCTAAGTACCACAACAGGATTAAATAGACAAGCAGAGCAGAGGGACCTATACCACCAGGAAAGAAGACCTGGGAGGGGAGTACATCCTTTGGACTTGGGATTCCTATATGGTGAAACTCTTGCATCCAGGGAAAGACTGATGCTAACATACACAGAGATCTCCCAGGAATGCTGTGCCTACAGATGTTTTACAGAGGTGCACTCTGAATTCAGACTTCTAGCCTCCTTCCTGAAATGTGAAAGAATACATTTATGTTTGTTCATGCCATCCACTTGTGGCATTTCTATTATAGCAATACTCAATAGTTAAGACAAAATGGTTCTTATTTAGTCTTACTTTAGTGCAAGAAAAAGGAGTCCTGGTGGAGCTATAGAATAAGCACCAGACTGCTAACCATAAAGTCAGCAGCTCAAATCCACCACCTGCTCCTTGGAAGAAATATGAGGCTTTCTGCTCCCATAAAGATTTACAGTCTTGAAAACCCCGTATAGGGTTGTTATTTGTTGGAATTGACTTGATGACAGTGGATGGATTTAGCACAAGAAAAGGCTCAAACATTTTTCAAAGACTTAAAAGTTGCATCATGCTCTTTGTAACTTAACAACGTATTTTGGGAATTACTTTATGCTTGATCTATTATAAATGAATGGTTTTCATTACATTGTTGTTGTTAAGTGCCATTGAGTCGTTTCTGACTCACAGTGACCCTGTATAGGGTTTTTGAGGAGTAGCTGGTGGGTTTGAACGGCAGACTTTGTGGTTCACAGTCCAGTGCTGATCCTATAGTCCTATACTCATAAAATATTGTTTTAAGATAGTTTTAGCTGGTCTATCTAGTTTTCAGACAAGAATTTTCCAAGCGTATAATTTAGAGTCCAATGATCTTTTTTTAAAAAATGTTTTATTGTGAATTGTGTAATAGTCTACATGGGAGAACATCAGTTTTATACTCATTCCACCATCCATCACCATCTCTTGACATCGTCTTTCCTGCCTCCATCTCAGGCCTCACGGCCTCTCTGGGTAGGATTCCGCTCTTCACTCTTCTCCATCGATGGTCCCAGGGTCCTCCACTCCTAGACTGATAAATTAATCACTCCCCTCTTTGCTACAAAATGTCCATCTTTAGATTTTCAACCCTCACAATCAGTCCTGATAACAATTATTCACCATTGTATCACAAGAGACCCATCTATATTTCGTTTCATCAGCCCTTCCTGGACAGGCTGGAGACTATTCACTGGAGACTCTACCTTCCTC